AGATTAAAAAATAATTAATATGTATTTAAAAACAGTTTTTTAGAAATCTGGGAAAAACATTTAAGAATAATGGCTTAATTAATTCATACCAAACAAATATGTGAGTGTTTTTATCTATTTTCTTACAAAATGCATATCCAAATCTTGCATTACATACATTGTATCGTACTTTCCTTTATATTTTTATTGCAAAGTATAATATCAATTTCGTTTTTCATTTCCTTTTATTCTTTTTCTTTTGCTGCATATTATTTCTAGTAAAAAAAAACAATTGTAACAGTAAAGAAAAGAAAAGAAAATAATGAGAAGGAAATAGGGAAAGGAGAGAAGGGAGAAGAAAAAAAGAAGAGAAAGAGAGAGAGAGAGAGAGAGAGAGAGAGAGAGAGAGAGAGAGAGAGAAGTAATACTTCCTCTCTTGCTCTGTTCTACATAATTATACATCATCTTTTCTATACAATTATACATCATCTCCACATCAAATTTAAATTAATATTGTAGGAAGGATTAAAATAGTATTGATTAAAACAATTAATTTACTTACATTTTATAAAAACTTATACAAAAAACTATAAATAAGACAACAGAATATATCCTAAATTAAAAGAAAACATTTGCAATTTTATTACATTAATTTAACAATTCAGATTTTTAAATACATCAACAATATCTACACATATTTTATACTAATAAAAGATATTTTTAGAGAAAACTTACGATATAGCATGTAGCAATTCTTGTCGCTGCTTCTCTTTCACTTTTACGCTTCCACCTTCCTCAAGGGCTGCTTGCAATTCTCTTTGCAAGACTGCCAATTTGCGACGTTCACCCTCCAAAAGTAACGAAGTAACCTAAAACAAAATGTAAGAATTATTTGCTATTTCGTTGAATGGCAATAATAAAATTATAAAGTAAAATAACATTTTCGGTTTCTTGATATATAGCGTATCAAAATAAAAAGCAAAAAAGTAAATTGATTGTCAAAAGATAACTTTATTTAACTGCTATGGAATACTATTTACACACACACACACACACACACACACACACACACACACACACGGAATATTTATTTCCGTTAATTTACACGAATCTGTTTCATGTACAATAGGTAATATAAAATATGTAAATTTATTATAAATTGGAAAACAATACAGAAAAAAAGCAATTAAGTTTCATGAATGTTAATTAATGTTATATTTGACATTAATATTCATAAATAAAAATAAACAAGCAAAAAATAGAAGCTTCAGAGTAGTTCGATGCAACAATAAAGAAGCCATCAGTGATCAATACTCTCTAAAAATTACCTACATAAATGAAAACACACAGTTCATGTAGTTTACATTGTACATATGCATGTAGATATTAAATTATATTATATTATATATTTTACGCATAATGCATAATCTTGCTGTTAGCTGTGTAAAATAATGATATTATAATTTGAAGAAAGATATAATTATAGAATGTAAAATTATTTTCTGAAAAAATTCTTCTCTGCATCAAATTATTATAGCAAAAAATTTCTGAAAAACTAAAGTTGCAAAAATTAATTTCTGCAGAAATCCGATATTATTTTGAGCGACAGGTGATTCATTTGCTTCGTGAAATACATAGATACTAAATGAATGAAATGAAAAAGTTAATTCTTGTTAAAAATTAAGAGTAGAACATAGGCATAAAAGGTGCAAAAGAAGAAACTGCAGTGTTACTTTTACCATCTGAGAACGCATATGATAAAAGAAAGATGAAAATTTATCAACTGATGGTAATACAGTTTTTTTTCAATAATCACATGTTGGTACAAATTTTTAATACTTTAATTTATCAACTATCGATATAAAGCTACCAAACTCAAATTATCAATACAACTGTTTTTGAAAATAGAATAAAATTTAAATATACCTAATAAGTAGTATCACAATTTTTTTATACAACATAAATAATATATATCAGTAAAATCTGTCAATTTATAAAAATCTAATTTGTTCTATTTAATTAAATAACAATAATAACAAATGCAATTGAACGCATTAGTGAGCATTAGCGAACTAAAGTTGTTGTGCACTAATCTATTCTAAAAGCAAATATCTCAAATGAAAAAATGCTCAATATATATTTTATCAAACACCATAAAATTTCTTGTATTAAGAATTTAGTAATTTAATATATTTCTATTATTTTTTTATTTTATTTACGAAGGAATGCATAAATTCAAACTGTAAAGAAATAATCTTAAATAATGAAAATTAAAAATAGAATGTACACTACACTTACACACACACACACACACACACACACACATACACGCACGCACGCACGCACGCACGCACACACGCATGCACAAACCTAATATACAACACAGTTCTCTAAGAAATGTTCTAAGAACATCCAAAGGAGATGCCCTCCCTCCGTCTTTCAAAGAATCATATTGCGTAGGAAATAAAAGTTTTACATATACTCTTATAAATAAAACATATATATTAATTATAAGACATTAAATTATAAGATTACTTGAGCGGCGCAGCTTTCTTATTACACTTTCTATTAAAAATGTTAGCATCAATTCTGAGCATAAACAAAAATTAATAGGTTAAAGAAACAAGTTCTTTATAAATGCTTCGAAAGAGGACAGTGTAAGAAACCTCATGTTTTTATTTATACCTTGTAATGATTTCAATTTCCCTGCTGCGTCCACGATTTCAATTTCCCTGCTGCTCCACGAGCACGATAAATCGTACAATACGCATCAAATACACACACGTTCGAATTCACGCTTAGCTCGCGCGCGAACATCTCATATGCAACGACGCGTGCAAATACGCACACGCGCACGTGTACTTAAATCATTCATATACTTGTAACACAAGTATTGGTTCATGAGTACAAGCATATATATGTATACGCGCATATATACGCGAGCGAAGAGATGCCTGAATAGATAAAGGGAGATATGAGCCGCTTGCCGCGACGACCCCTAAGCTCGTTGTGCTCGACGGAAGATACGAATGTACTCTATAATTGGTCGAAAGTACTGGACTTCCTACGATTGTATGAGTTATTATTGCTAGATTATGCTAATTTCACAAAAGAGATGAAAGCTCGCGTTGATGCGCTCATAAATCGTGTTGCTCTTTTCTTCTTGGCTCACCACTGTTAACTAGTAGGTAATACCTACTAGTTGTCCTACTACTACACTATTAACCCACTAATTTTCTCTCCCATTGAGAGATAATTAGAGATTAAAATCGATAGATATCTTTAGGATGTTCTACATTCCATATCCCTTTTTTATATTATATACAATTTTTTGTATACTTTAATCTTTTCCTCTTTAAATTAGAAGTGAGATAATATGTGTAGAATAATTGTAACAGAAAGATATCGATGTGTTATAAGAATTTTAGTTAAATGTTTACAGAAAGATAAATAATTAAATAATCATCCATTTCCGAAAATTATTTAATTAATTAATCGCTAGCACTCAGACATTGTATCATTATGGAATATTATATTACGTATATATTTTTTTAATTCTTTTTTATTATAATAATTTTGTTTTCATTATTATTCACATATTTTAATATATCGAAAGGATAAATTTTGTTAAAAAGTGCTCCATATATTTGCACTGCGGAAATAGATAACAGTCGCAAAAAGATTAGAGTCACCTAACACTTTGTAACACTGTATCGCGCATATTGAACATTTATATTCCAATTCAGAATTTAAATTATATCGCATCGTAGCCAATATAAGTAAATTCGATCCAAATATATAGTATTTATAATATACTATAAATTATACGATAAATAAATCTTGATACATTTTTGTATGTATAATAATGATTTAGAGTTTATCTCGATTCGCGCATCACAATTTAAAAAACGCGAAACGCACGATAATAAAATTATAGCTTCTCCAAGCAAGTCCAAGCAATTGTCTCGCTTACTATGCAATGCAGTGTTAATAAAACGGAAATTACTACACTTGTATGTACATTGCTACAGCATTACAGAAGTATTATCCAATTGACGGATTAACATTTTTTTATATTTTATTACGCATAAAAGAAAGAAAATATTTCTCTGAGAAAAATACAATTCGTTTCTTTTAATAGAATAATTTTCAAAGTATAACAATTTTTAAAATATTTGGAGGAAATATCAAGACGTATTTATGATAAAATTCATTACATCATAAAAGCTTCAAATTGAGTCAGTTGCAAATATTGCATTATTTATGACTAATCACGCACATATGTCAGTGTAGATGTGAAGAAAGAATTCGAAAGAAACTTCTTTGCAATAAAAATTTCAGTTCATATACGTGCTTGATTATAATTAAAAATCTATTTTGACAGGCATGCGGATAAATATATTTATTCCATTTTAAAATACGTTCCGCTATTTTCGATTGTTCGATCGAGTATCTATAAGATATTTTTGAAAGAAATGGTTCTCTAAAAAAAAATATCTAGAAGATCATTGTCGAAGAGATCATTGTTGAAGAGATGTTGTCTTGACTCTCTTTGCAAGAGAACTTTTTCTGAGAGATGTGACTTTTCTTCAGATTATTATCAGTCGAAAAGCACAGCAGTGCAATGTGTCGATTATGTTCACGCGATCATCGGAAGTTTCCAAACGCCACCGGAATCGAAACACGTACAAGTGCTCGTTGCCAAAGCTTCGTTATTGCAGATCAGACTATCTTAGTTTCAGCAAAATTCAGCGATAAGTCAGCTTGAATTGCCAGTTTCGTGGTAGTACGAGTGTCAAATCAGACTTGGTCAGCATAAACTTTGGCAAAGTTCAGCGAATCTGAACTATCCTAAAAAGAAACTTTAACAAAACCGAATTAGAAGCATCGCATTATTTTAAAATATCTATAATTAAATATCTATAACTGTTTATTAAATATTTTTAGTAATTCTTCCTTGACGAACATTATTTATTACCTCACTTAATCCTAAGTCTTTAACATATCATCTTGTTTTCACGCGTTCCTTTATTATATTGTAAATAAATACAAATTTTATGAAAACATTTCCAAATTAGATTTTTTAAATCGCGACGGATGCACTATGTTGCATCATGAAACGGATATATGATGGTGCTTGGATATGATCGTCTGTCGAAATAAAACTGTACGCAATTCCTTGGAGCACTGACTCCGCTTATTAAAGATTGTCGCGATACCAAACTGATTATGAGTGCACCAAGCAATTATCCTGTCTATCGTAATCGCGTATTCTTGCTGACTATTTGCGGACATTACGCTAATGTGTATGTGTGATCGAGATTGAGAAAATAATCGCTATTAGAATGTTGCACACTTACTACGCAGCTGCACAATTATGCAGAATTAATTGTTAATAAAATTGTTATCGATAATTTTTCGCAGCACACAAGCAATTTCAATGGAATCTGTGAAATACCGGTAGCATGAATTAATGTTAATGCATATCCCGTGATGAGAAATCTTTATGGTGATGCTCAATCGTAACATAGATATTCGCGGAAATCTTAAACATACATTAAACTAAAAAGTCAGCGTATGTATAAGATAACATAATAAAAAATAATAAGCTTCCTAGCTTTTTTACCTAAAGCTTCACTTTTCTTAATTACAATCACAGCACGCAACCGCATAATTACTTCAAGGACCCTCGTGATTTAATTTTCAGTAATATGTAACTCTATGTCATTATGAGTAATTTCATGTTACAATATGATTAGATTGGTAACACGCAAAATTCTTACCTTGAGATGCTGCAAAGAATACTTCTTATAATTAACGCGTTTCTTAGATATTCGGTGTTCGTTAATTTTACAATCTGGTGCATTATTAATTTTCATAATATATAAATTCCATTATGCTATTTTAATTTCTAAAAATTTTGTTGGACTCATATGTTGTTCTCGAAATAATTGATTCGAGTGAAGCAACCGCCAATTTATTTTACCAGCGGTAAATTATAAGTTTCAATTTCACTTTCGATTAGTTTGATTCGATTTTTTTTTTCTTTTCAACCGCGATTCTGTTACGCCGAAACATCGCGGCGGTTAAAACGGAAAATCATCCGTGATGAAACGAATTAGCCGGTAAGTCCATAGAGAAATCTAGCATGAAGAAACGGCGAAGAGAGAAATTTCGCTATTGCTTACTTGTACAATCGTACTTAAGCGAGTGTAATTTATGCGCATAATATTTAAACGTAATTGATAGTCCAATGGCATACAAAATTAATATCGTTAACGTGTACATTTGCAATAAAAAAGAGCATACAATTGCAAAATATTATAATGATTAATCTGAATCTGCTCGTTCATTTATGATAAGTCTCCAGAACTCTACGCTCATTTACTCTCTCCCTCTCTCTCTCTCTCTCTCTCTCTCTCTCTCTCTCTCTCTCTCTCTCT